AATGGTGCGTTTGGCGTTTCAGGACCGTGTGCTGATCAACCGCCTGGATAACCTGTGCACCCTCGTGCTGACCGGCCAGTGGCCCTCGGGCCGACGTTACATTCCTGAAGCTCAGCTCAACCCGAGCTCAGAGCTGTTGGGAGAGGAGATGGCCTACCCCAGGGTCATCCGTAAACCCATCAGCACACCGGGGGGCATCGGGCCGGAGGGAGAAGACGGAGAGTTCACAGTCAAACTCCTCAAGGTGACATCATGGACGCAGTTTTTACTACATTACTGTAACATATTTACATCATTGGAAAAAATAGCTTTTATAACCACCTTTAAGAGTCCTGTAGATCCTAAAGCTGAGAACCTAATGGAGCTAAGGTCAAAGGGGTCATATCTTTAACTTTAACACCCCTCTTTTCAGGAAGAAGGCCTGAAGCTGACGTTCTCCAAGCAGGCGCTAATGCCCAACGGGTCAGGTGGAGAGAGCAGCGGACGAAAGAAGCGGAAAGACCAAGAGGTAAATCAGACTCATCTCTATTTACTCCATCGTTTCACCTTTAAATTAAACTTTGACCCTTTGATATTGTTTATATTTGGAGCTGAGGCATCAACATGTGACATCACACCATGTGGGGTGGAGAGCGATGCTCTGAAACAGATGTGTTATCTAACTAGGCTGATTTTTAACTTTGATCCCGTAAAGCAGAAACTAGGCTGACCAAGCTCCCTAATCTTTCAGCTGTCAGAGTTTGACGAACTCGATTCACTGGAACGTACCCCTCGACGAAGGGACCCTCCCACCTGGTTGAAAGAGAATCCAGATTATGAGGTGGAAGGAGACATGTTGGAGGTAACTTAATGACGCCTGAATGTTTGATCTTCTAATCCGGGCTTCAGGCTTGTATTTAAATGCTTCCAGGATGATGATTTAGTTTTACTTTTTGTCAACCAGCTGCTGGTTAACAGGAGCAAAAGGAAGAGGAGACGGCGAGCAAATAAACCTCTGACAGGCACTGAGAAGGTCAAAGTGATCAACATGCTGACAGGAAAGAAGGTGGGTTACAGCTGTACAGTCTCTAGTTCAGTGTTATTATAGGCTGTTCTCAGTAGAGCTCAGGTCTGGATAAGAGCAGAGGATATTTGTTTACTTAGTTTATGTCCTGCTTTGTTGTTTTCATCTGTTCTTTTTTAATCCTTGTTTCTTTTATTCTGCCTTGTTCTCTCCTTCCTACCTTATGTGTGTATTTGCTTCTGCCCTCTTCCTCTTATTTCCATGTTTTCTCATGTTTGCCCCTTTTGTCGCTGTATTTGTCCATGTGTCCTTAGTTCTCTTACCTAATCTTATTCATTATTTCCTTCAGTTCTTTCCTTATTTTTCCACCTTAGCTGCATTCCTTTTTTATTTCTTGTCTTTCTATCCTTCCCTTACACTCTCCATCCCTCCTATTTTTCATTACTTTCCCTCCTTGTGTCCTACCTTCCTTCCATTCTTAAGCTTCGGTTTCTGGGGTTTCTTATTTTTCAGCTCCCAGTTATATCAGAAATATCTATCATAAAAAATATGACAAACTATAAAAGCACTTGGAGAGTGCAGACCTTCGACAAGCAACAAATTTTACCCCAAATTGTGGCTTAGACCTTTAGCAAAAACTCACACATAATCTGAATCATTACCGGATTTAAATTAATTGTTCCTTGGCGTGAGGCACACCTCTGGTAAATAAAAAACACATTTCCATAAAATCTGTTCATAAGTTTCCAATTGATCCTGCTCACACACCAACAACATTCCCTTTTCTTGGGTTTTTGACTTCAGCAAAATACTTCCATGCTGAAGCTGTCAATAGTCACTGCTGCCACCTTCTGGTGTAATGTGGAACTGCTTTTTCGACTAATATACCTTTTTTACAATGTTAGAGAATCTTTTAAAAATTCCTGTATCCAGATTATATGGAAGAGGATTAGGGCCACTGAAAAAAAAAAAAGTTAACTGATTTTTTTTTTACATTTTATTTCAGTTTAACATGGGGAACCAAAATTGAATTGATTGTTCCTTGGCATGAAGGACACCGCTGATAAAACATGGAATTAAAATCCATCCATAGCTTTCAAGTTATCCCGTACACAAACACACTAACTATCCTAAAAATATAACCTCCTTGGCGGAGTGTTTTATATTTAAAAAAGAAGTGAGAATTCAGAAAAGGTCTGTATTTTATAGCAACCCTGAACCAAGTAACATTCAGACATCTCTCTCCAGGTTGGAGCTGCTTTCTCGCCGATGCTTCAGGATCTAAAGGAGTATCTGGAGGAGAATCCTAATATCGCCGTTTCACCCGAGTGGTCTGAAACCGTTCAAAAATCTGTACGCAAGACATTTAATTTTTAATGCAGCAAAATCTGATTAATTTTAAGAAAATGTTTTCTCTGTTTTTCAGCATAAATTAATTTGACGTGGATCTTTCTGTTCCTCCTGCAGGGTCTGCTGCCTGAATCCCTCTTCCACCGCCTGCTGTCAGAGAATTCAGAGATTCCAAAGAAAAGTCACCGGCGGCGTCACCACCACCATCACCACCACCACCACCATCATTACCACACTCCTGACCCCACGCCTGAAGACCCTAACTTGGACGGAGTAGAAGAAGAGACTCTGGTTTCCGACGGAGCCTACATGATGGACGAGGAGGACTTGGAGACGCCCCATCACTTCCTCACCAGCCCGGACTTTGACGTTAAAATGGGGGGCGGTGACAGCCTCTCTCAAGGCGACTACGACAGCTCGGATCAAGAAGCGCTACTGGAAGACGTCATCCTGGCGCCGAAGGACTCTGACTCCTCATCAAGCTCAGAAGACTGAACTCCAAATACATCTGACTTATCCCCCCTCTTTCCAAATGAAATCATGTTATTCCGAAATTTTCTTTTTTTACCAACATGTAACAAATCAAGCATTGTTTTTGTTTTTGCTACCTTCATTCTTTATTTTCTTTCTTTGGGATTATTTCTGTGTAAGGAGCAGGTGTGCATCCACCCATTTTATTCTAACCCCTCCCCCATCGCTCCGTTTTTGCACCGAGCTCTTTTCGATCTTCCTCATGACGTTGCTGAACTGAGCGGCCTCTCTTCTCCACTCGTACTTTTTCATCTCTTCCATCCAAACCCATGAATTCCCATCACATTCCCAGACGTGACCAAAAGAGGACCCTTGCTGTATAGACACACTTTTCATATCTTTAAAAAGAGAAGAAAAAAAAAAAACCTCAAAGCTGGTCCTCGAGAGCTACATGAAACTGGACGCGTACTGAGCAAAGCCTGATCCCTCATTCCCTCTCTCCCCTTTGATCTCCTTCGGTCGGCCTCTCTTCGGACAAGACTGTAAACCAAGAGGGGATCCGGTGTGTGGATAGACTTTAGTGTCTTTACTCTGCGTAAGGGTTGTGGGCTGAGAAGGGAGGGAGGGAGGGGTTAAAGTGGCGTATTAGTTACTGAAGCGGTTTAAGGGGGGGTGTGTGTGTATTGTATAATGTAGAGCTCATCAGTTTTGTACTATGGTGCAAAGATGACAGCTGTGAGTTATTCTTGTTTTATGATCTGACTGTATCTGTGATATGAATAACAGCAATCTACAGTGAAAAAAACCTCCCAGTGTGCATCGTCTTTTTAAAAACAGCCCAGAGTAAAATAACTTGAACTGGTTTCATGTTTTTTTGCTTGTTTCAAAGGATTTTCTGTTTTCAACACTTAATAATTTCAACTATATAAAATCTGGAAGTTCAATTTACTACAAATGTTTGCAAACATTTTTAATATATGAGGGAAAAAATCCAAAATAATCAATTTGCAAAGAAAAGGTTTTGATAACTACAAATCTAATAAAACAGAAAAAACTAAGCAGGAGGGGGGAAAAAAATCCAATTTTGCCAAACTTATTTGGTCATTTTACATCACTTACCGTATATGAATTAAACCTTCCTTTCCTATTCAGTGGAGTTAAATAAGTTGACCACCTTTCTGCAGCTTCAACTCTTCTTAGAATTTTATATTATTCTTCCAGGGGTGTATGGAGGTCAGACACTGAAGGAATCCGCTTTTATTCATTTCATCCTTGTGTGGTATGATTTTTCTATTACAGGAAACACAAAGCTGAACTTCTAACGCATTAATTCAATTTCAATTCAGTTTATTTATATAGCGCCAATTCACAACACGTCATCTCAAGGCACTTCACAGTTCACCAGATCATACAGTGAAATCGATTCAAAGTTTTCTATCTTTGATTGCATCAACTCATTGACTCAAATGCAATCCCTCACATTAAGCATGCTTGTAGCGACAGTGGAGAGGAAAAACTCCCTTTTAACAGGAAGAAACCTCCATCAGAACCAGGCTCAGTGTGAGCGGCCATCTGCCGCGGCCGACTGGGGTTCAAGGAGATAGAACCAGAGATAAAGGGATCTTACTTTTCAAACTTGTATATATAACAAAGGGCAAAATGAAAGCCTTACAAGGTTACATAAAGTTGAAACCTACGTTTTTTAGAATTTTTCCTCCCCTTAAACTAATCGCATCATCTTAAAAATGTATATCTTACAAAGTTTTTCTTCCTAGACCACTATTTCAATCATGTCTAGTTCACTTTTGTAACAAGCTGTAACATTTTGCCATCAGCAAAGTCACGTCATTTGCCTTAAATATAACACCTTATCAGAATTAAACTACCTTAATGTAGCACTTATAGACGCACTTAAAAAGCTCGTGTGGGGAAAAAAAAAACATGACGTGCCCCGATGTATGTTTTTAATTCGATTCAAAAGTACATTATTGTACATTATTGATATTAAAGTCAAATTTTATAACTCAGAATTGCTGTTTTTTATGGCATAACATGTCTTGGTTTCTCTGCTGTTGAAACTGGCTGACTCCTATTACACAATTACCGTATTTTGCACTGAACTTCCGTTTTACCAAAAGCCCTTGAATGCAACACAGTTCCACCGTGTACCCACAGAGGGCGCTAGCAGTCTTGCATTGATGTGCATGCTTGTTTTGGGCCTTTATAAACTTTAGCCTGTCTATGGACCAACACTTTTATTCTGCTGATTAAAACAGGCTTTTTGCAGCTGTTTGTCATTTTAAATCGTATAATTTTAATCCAGTTAAGGTTGAAAGCCAAATTCTTTAAATATCTGCTTCAACAGTAGAAAAACCGCTAACCGCCTGGTTGATGCTAGCTAGCAGCGATTGTTCAAGATGTTACAACCAGTCTGTGGGACGATTTAAGAAATATCCGCTTCACGTATGAAAAATGGGACCTTTTTTTTAGAGTAACCAGTAAAAAAATGGATCTTAAATTTTATTCCGAGCTGCCAGATGGCTGCTCTTCAAATGTTGATGCGGAGTTTATGGAGACTCAGGAATACGGTGGTTATTCTGGGGAGAACAAGGTAAGGTTCGGTGCATCGGAGCCTTAGATGTGTATATTATAAAGTACCGTGGGTTTATCTGTGAGTGAAATGTTATTTATTTGCTGCAGTTTTCAGAAAGCAGCGACAGCTATCTGGCTATCAGTGGAGCTGGGCATCATTTCTTATCCGCAGAGGTTAGTGATCAAACTTTAGGGGCGTTTCATCTGCCTTATATGATGCCGTGTTTTTAATGACTGAAACCATCCCTCTTGTTTTGCCCCCTTACAGCAGACATTTCACACTCCTAGTCTCGGAGATGAAGTTTTCGAGATCCCCCCGATCTCCCTGGATCCAGACCAGGCTCTGAGCATCAGCGACTCCCACTTTGATCTGACCGATGGCTCTGACGACAACAGCGGCTCTTCCGGTCCCAGAAACCTGGTGAGCAACCTGGTGGTGGAGGCAAATGATCCATCCTTCGCCTCCACCTTTGTAAACACAGGATCCCAAAGTCTGGAGCAGCTGAACCTTGGAGCAATGGGCCAAGCTGGAGGAGGAGGGCTGATAAGCTCCTCTGCCCTGGTGAGTGATTCACTCTGGATCAGTAGGCTTCCTATTCACAGGCTTTATACAGGGTTATTTAATGCTTTTTATTGCTTCTTTAATGCTATTAGAAACCATTTAAATGCCATCAACAAGTACCCATGTCTTATATATATATATATATATATATATATATATA